GGAACCGGACCGGGCCCCCAGCGCCCACCTGCCAAGCCCAGTACCCCTGGAACTGCCCAGCATCAACCGACGTGACCGCCACCCAGTGCAGCCTTCCCCCCTGCAAAGATACCATGAGAAGATTCAATAATGCGCGCACCAGATCCATGGATAATTCGGAAGGACCGAAGAAGAGAACAGAGAAGAGGACGCTATCAACGAAGATCAGGAGGCACATGAAACCTAGATACATCGTCGAAGACAGCACATCCGCCTCGCCGTCCGTGGGCGCCACTCACTACCAGATGCCTAGCAGACGTGACGGTCGGAGGTGACTGACAGATGTCGCAAGAAGCGTACGGCTCTCCTCGTCTCCTGCTCCTAGATAGCAAAGAAGAGACAGACAGATCAGGAAGAAGAGAGGGAGAGAAGAGAGAAAGATACTAGAGGGAGATTAACCGAGAAAGAAGCACAGCAGGAGAGTCAAGAAATAGCCCGCCGCGAGCTATCGAGTGATAAAGACAAGAATATACAGCCAGCGAGGAACAAGTGTATCACGCAAGGGTCCCACCACAAAACGGCGTGGATCCCACGCCGCCCGCCCGAGCACACCCCACCACACCAACGGCACGACACACGGCCCTCTCCTCTATCACCCCACACCACACACTGTGAGAAAATTAATAAATAATTAAATTAATTAAATTAATTATAAGGTAGAAAGTAAGAAGTTAGCAGGTCCACGGCGGTGATCGCCGGGCACCCCAAACGCCACACAGCGCCTTCTTAATCCCAACTGTGAGAGGAATAGATCAATTAAAGACTAGACCGCCAAAGCTAACAAGCCAGCACCTAACACGCAGGTGCACCGCGTGGATCGCAGAGCACCACAGCCTTCTTACGGTCCACCATAACACCATGCTGAAGGCACGCACTAAACTCTAAATTAATTAATTAATTTACACCTTAATTATCCAACAATAAACAGGAGCACAAACAAGTAGCACAATTACGCACAGGTCAACGGCGGCGTGAGGTGGCGCGGACAGAGCCACGCCCTTCTTCATCCAACTAGTGAAGAGGATAATTAACTTAATTAATTAATTAATTAAAGTCAGAAAGTAGAAAGTTCCCCAGCAGAATGCACGGCCGTACGTGAATCCGCAGAGCACGGGCACGCCCAACTCACACACACCGCTGCACCGCGCCTTCTTCATCCCACCTTTTTCAAAAGCGAGGGCCCGCATCAGGAGCATGAAATGTCCAACGGCCCCCGCACCCTTTGTAAATCGGCGGGCGCCTCTAAGATAATACGCTGCGTTTCGCCCTCAAAGGCCGCCACCACGTCCCACCCACACCTTCTGGACCCATCCAGCAATTACTTGAAATGGCATTCGCCCAGAGCGAACCAGGAAGCCACACACTAGGCAACACTAGATCTGTAATGACACTGTAAAATAATCAGCCTCGGTTCAAGCAAAACCAAACATTATTGACTTTCACAAAAGTTTGATTGAACATAGAAAAAAAAAAAACAGAATTTAATTTGCTGCAAAGGCTTACCGCCGCGCCGCCACAGAACCCCCGTAGAGGCCGCATGCGCCCTCGCGCCCAGTGTTGCCACGACCGAATCCCATGCGGGCCCTATAAAGATGGGTTGTTACAACCAAGTCACGCAAAGTATTCGTTGAACTTTTAGTATAAGGGTCCACGATCAAGGCGGAACCCAAACCCAAAAGGATGGCTTAGAAATAGGTCCCACCCGACCTTATGCCAGGTCAAACCTTTACATATAATGATCACGTCGCCCACGAAAAATCCCTCCTCTAAAACAGATGGCCTTAAAAAGCGAAGTTGAAGTTAACATTATGAACAGTCCAAACGTTCATCTATGTGGGCCACCTCAGGGGAGAACCCCCAACCCCGCGCGGCCCCCGCCCACGCTAGCGCCTAGCACCACACGACGCTCCCGTCCCCACAAACACTCTTTTCCACGTGCCGGACACCACGCACACAGACGTACGGCGACGCCCGGAGGCGATCGGGGCGGAGGCACCGCCTCCCACAGCCACCGCACGCCACGCCAGACAACACGATGGTCGCCCCTCCCCACACACGAACGAACGCAACACACACAGGCTGGAGGGCACGCCCTCCCCACACCCGCCACACATCGCCACCGCACGCACGGGGCCACGCACGCGACAAGCTTAACATGTTGTATGCGCGTTCCAAGGAGATCATGTCGGCGGCCGACAGCTCTCCGATGGCCAGCAGCTCTAGCACGTCTCCCGCGCGCGTGTGGTACGGCACCAGCCGCAGCCCCGCCTGCTTAGCCAGCACGCTGACGCTGTCACGCGGTCCCAGCTTAAACTTTATCATCAGTAGACCTGTAAGAGGAGAGGAAAGGTGAAGAGAGAGAGCGAGAGAAAGAGGGAGGGAGGGAGAGCGAGAGAGAGAGAGAGAGAGAGAGAGAGAGAGAGAGAGAGCGAGAGAGAGAGAGAGAGAGAGAGCGAGAGAAAGAGAGAGAGAGAGAGAGAGAGAGACCTGCGAGAGAAGACAAGAGCTAGAGAGAAGCGGACCTCTCCACACACCAGAGACCTCCCATACACGCTACACGAGAAACTAACGTGTTTCCGTCAACGGTCTACGCGAAAAAGTATAAAACGTTAAAACTAACACCAGAACGAATTTCCCTTCTGTCAACCCATCCCAGGCACTCAACGTGTCCCCGGGGAGGACAACGACGCGTCCCCGGGGAGGACAACCCGCCTCGTCGTTTCTCACCTGCGTAGAGGAACTGCACGCGCACGTCGCCGATCGCCGGGCTGAGCGGCGCCTCGCCGTGGTAGAAGTAGCCCTTCGTGACCTTGGCGTCGCTGCCCTGCGGCAGCTTGAGAGACTTGAGCACCTTGAAGTTGTTGATGCGGTTGACGAGGCCGTCAGACAGCTGGAAGGCTCCGGCGTAGGCTGCGGGCGCGCGGTACTCTGCGCTCGTCACCGCCATCTGCTTGGGGTTCTTGTGCAGGTGCGGGCTGTCGAAGCTGGCGCTCCTCACCAGCTCCTCCATCCATTTCTACAAGAGAGAGGGAGAGATGTGTGTGTGTGTGTGTGAGAGAGAGAGAGAGAGAGAGAGAGAGAGGAAGAAAGAAATGTGAGCACGAGATAGAGAAGAGATGCACGAGGGAGAGGGAGAGGAGATGTGAGTGCACGCGCGCGTGAGAGAGGGAAAGGGAGCGAGAGAAATGTGAGAGCACGAGAGAGTGAAAGAAAGAAAATCGAGGACACGAGAGAGAAAGAAAGAAAAGCAAGCGCGCGAGAGAGAGAGAAAGAAAGATGCAAGAGCCTTGATGCTCGGAGCGTCCCAGCGGTTATTGTGCATTCTCCGACGCAACGTCCGAAAATGCCGGGGCCCTTTACGGAAGCAACCGCCACGTCTGGTGTTCAATTCCAGCCCATTACCCCCGCCAGTTCTAGATGGCATAATTTAACCCACCCCTACTCTCGCGTTGGGTTACAATATTGTTTCTACGCCAGTGCGTTCAATTATTGTCGAGGAAAAACAATGCACTCTGCTGTTAACTCGACCAGCTGGCAGTCTGAGAAAAGTTTTAGACGTGGACAAGGATTATAAGTATTTTCGTGTGCTAGCCGTACGCGTAACGTAGGTGGGTCACATGCTTTTTGCTTTGACTGGCGGGTGTGTTAGTAGGCGTTGAGCCAATATTGCCAGTGTACTGTTGTTGCTCGATCTGCCATGTTTCTTTGTTTGAACAAAATACTGTCTCACAGTGACCAGATGCCATTTGCATCCGGGATGTTACTGTAGACCTGGTATCTCATCGTTACTCTAACTCGTCGGTCAGTGATCGTCGACAGTGATGGCCGAAGAGGTTGTGTATACGATATATGATATAGACGTCTTTATTTGAATACATATGTTGCAACGTACATGAGCGGGTTTGTTCGCCCAGTGCCACACCCGACTCCCCCTCGATCCTTCTCTTCCCCCCTTAAATAGGCCTCTCCTTATGCCATGATGTCATGGCTTAGCGTAACCAATAGCCAGGCTAGCGTGCCTTATTTATTTGTAT